TTCTGAGCTTCTCTGCCTTCTGAGGTCACTCAGTAGTGAGGGGAACTCTGGGTGTACATGTGACAGCTCAGGGGGTCAGCCAGAAGAAGAAGGTCTGTGGGGAGAGCTGGGCAGCTGCGCTTTCCTTACAGGAAGCAGAAGCCAACAGGAGGCCGCATTTCTGGAGGCCGAGCACTGCCCAAACCTTCCAGGAATAGACACAGCCATGACATGCTTGACAACTGCACTTTGCACCCAGTAAACCTATACTTCCAGAACGTGAGAGGCACACAGACACTGGGTTTACATGCAAAGATGGGTGGGAAAAAAACACAGGGTAAAAGAGCTACTAAAGGTGAACTTCAAGAACAATTTAGAAATGGGGGAGGGGCACAACTGAAATACTGTGAGAAAGTAATTTGTGATATTTTGGATGGGGACCAGACACGTACTGAAATCTCCCTTTTCTGTCCCAAACACATATAGAAAGGGAAAAGATCTAAACACATTCCAATAAGGCAAAGGAAATGTCTTTAAGTGAGAAAAAATGGAGATGCCTTTCTAAAAGCAGAAGCGGGCACCAACAGTACAAAGGCCCAAGTCAGAGGCCTGCAGAGGAGCCAGGCCAGAGCCTGCCTGGAGCTGAGGACGTGGATGGTACTGCTTGTCCGCCCAGGGCTGGGACGAACAGTGTTTCTAGGTGAGGGCCATGCATCAGAGGCCACCACTTCCCACCACACACAAGCGTCTCCTAGTGCCCTCGTTGCAGACCTGAGTACAACCAACCCCACAGAAGAGCAATGTGGAAACTGGATATCATGTTAACAATATTGAAAATACCTATTCTTTTTTAAAAATATATTTTTATTAATTTCAGAGAGTAAGAGAGATAGAAACATCAACGATGAGAGATAATCACTGATCGGCTGCCTCCTGCATGCTCCCTACTGGGGATGAAGCCTGCAATCCAGGCATGTGCCCTTGACTGGAATTGAACCCAGAACCCTTCAGTCTGCAGGCCAACGCTCTATCCACTGAGCCAAACCAGCTAGGGCAAAAATACCTATTCTTAAGCAAAACCTATAAGAATACTAGGTGACACTTTATTTATTTATTTAAAAAAATATATTTTTTATTGAGTTTTTACAGAGAGGAAGGGAGAGGGATAGAGAGGTAGAAACATCGATGAGAGAGAAACATCGATCAGCTGCCTCCTGCACACCCCCTACAGGGGACGTGACCGCAACCAAGGTACATGCCCTTGACCAGAATCGAACCTGGGACCCTTCAGTCCGCAGGCCGATGCTCTATCCACTGAGCCAAACCGGTTAGGGCATACTAGGTGACACTTTAATTCTGGCTATGTGAAAAGCACTGCTTTGGGCTCTTTACAAGTATTAACATGTATTTACACATGTTATCACCCCACCCTATGTGATGGGAACTATTATCCTTTTATAGAGGGGAACAGACAAATTAAGAGACTCGCCTAAGATGACCAAGCTTGAATGTGGCAAAGCCAGCATTCCAGCTCCAGAGATGGATCTTAACTGCTTCACTTAACCAGGAGGTAACTAACTAATTAAAAATCTTAGAAATGAAAACCTGACATAAAAATAGGCTCAAAAGTAAACAAGACTGCCTAGCTGGTGTGGCTTGGTGGTTGAGCATCGACCTATGAACCAGAAGGTCACGGTTTGATTCCCAGTCAGGGCACAAGCCCAGGTTATAGGCTTGATCCCCAGTAGGGGGTGTGCAGGAGGCAGCAGATCAATGATTCTCTCTAACCATGGTGTTTCTATCTCCCTCTCCCTTCCTCTCTGAAATCAAAAATATATATTTTTTAAAAGTAAACAAGACCAAGCTGGGGAAACCTCCAAAGGACAACTGGTCATGCAATGTGGCTCTGGAAGCTGCATGATACACCTGATGGGTCCCAGGAGCCAAAGGTGGTGAGAAGAGGCCATTGGAGAATCATGACTTTTTCCCACGCATTGAAGAAATAGAAAAATACAAACAAGCACTAAGAATAATTTTTTTAAGCCACATCTTAAAAAAATGTTTAAAGAGACAACTTAGAAAAAAATTTACTAAAATAACATAACCTACAAAGGGATGCAAATTGTACTGTTATCACTGCTCTCAGCAGCATAAGATCCTAAAAAATACTAGAGAAATACTTTTAAAGTTCTAAGGAAAATGACAACATTTATATACCCAGTAAAACTATCTTTCAAGAACTTCAGCCCTAGCTCGTTTGGCTCAGTGGATAGTGCGTCAGCCTGTGGACTGAAGGGTCCTGGGTTCGATTCCAGTCAAGGGCACATGCCTGGGTTGTGGGTTCAATCCCCAGTAAGGGGGTGTGCAGAAGGCAATCGGTCAATGATTCTCATCATTGATGTTTCTGTCTCTCCCTCTCCCTCTCTGAAATCAATAAAAAAAAATATATTTTAAAAAAAGAACTTGGGGCCTGGCCAGTGTGGCCCAATGGTTGAGCATTGACCCATGCACCAAGAGGTCCCCAGTTTGATTCCAGGTCAGGACACATGACTGGGTTTTGGGCTTGGTCCTCAGTAGGGGATGTGCAGGAGGCAGCCAATCGATGTTTTTCTCATCCATGTTTCTATCTCTATCACTCTCCCTCTTTCTCTAAAAACAATCCTAGCCGAAACCGGTTTGGCTCAGTGGATAGAGCGTCGGCCTGCGGACTGAAAGGTCCCGGGTTCGATTCCGGTCAAGGGCATGTACGTTGGTTGCGGGCACACCCCCAGTAGGAGATGTGCAGGAGGCAGCTGGTCGATGTTTCTCTCTCATCGATGTTTCTAACTCTCTATCTCTCTCCCTTCCTCTCTGTAAAAAATCAATAAAATATATTAAAAAAAATAAAAAAATAAAAAAATAAAAACAATCCTATATAATAAAAGGGTAATATGCAAATAGACCAAACAGCAAAATGACTGGTTACTATGATGCACACTGACCACCAGGGGGCCAATGCTCAACACAGGAGCTGCCCCCAGCCTGCAGACCCCAATTGCCTAATCAGGGCCTGCCGACCCACCATTGGTTCCTTCCCCCCGCCACGCCCCCCCCCACCCCGGCCAGCAGGCTCTGATTGCCCAATGGTGAATGGGGAACCGGGGGTGGGTGGTAGTGGTGGGCGGGGCCGGCTGCCAGCAGCCAGCAGCCAGGAAAGATGGCCCTGATCTCAGGCCAGGCCTAGGGACCGTACCCACGCACAAATTTCATGTGCCAGGCCTCTAGTAAAAACATAAAACAAAACATAGGAATAATATAAAGATTCAAAGTTGACATCCATCCACTGATGAAAGATATTCTAAAGATATACTCCCACAAGAAATATTTAGTACTCCTGCTAGTATCATCATCCTATATAATAAAAGCCTAATATGCTAAGTGTCCGACTGTTCGACCAGTTGCTATGATGCTCACTGACCACCAGGGGGCAGATGCTCAACACAGGGGGCAGATGCTCAACACAGGAGCTGCCCCCTGGTGGTCAGTGCGCTCCCACAGGGGGAGCACCGCTCAGCCAGAAGCCAGGTTCATGGCTGGCAAGCGCAGCAGCAGTGGTGGGAGACTCTCCAGCCTCTGTGCTAAAGATGTCCCACAGTGGAAGCGGGTCTAAGCCATCAGTCAGACATCCCCCGAGTGCTCCCAGACTGTGAGAGGGTGCAGGCCGGGCTAAGGGACCCCCCCTTCCCCTGAGTGCACAAATTTCGTGCATCGGGCCTCTAGTAAAAGAAATAAAAGAGATGGGGATCCCCCCAGCATTTCAGAGAGCCTGCTCTGAACAATCCAGTTCTAGACCAGTGTGATGTGTGGTGAAGGGCTGATGGACCTGGAACCCCCAGAATATGCAGGTCAGCCTGGCCTCCACCTCTCTGCTCCTTCCTAGATTCTGGGCCCTGGTGCCCTTCAGAGCCCAGCCTTTGCTACCAGGAAGGGCAGGGATAGGATTAAGTCCAAGAGTGTCTATGGCACAGTAAACTCATTTATTTTTTATTGTAAAGAAGTTGCAGTTGGAACATGGGACACTGAAAATACACAATCACGGATTGTTCTTTCAGAGGAGGGAGGGAGAGATCCATATATACAAAAAATTGTAAACATGTTCACTTAAATATCCACACATAATTGATCTATGCTACAATGTACAGGGTTGTCATTCAACTGCAACTCCAGAGGCATCTGTCTGTAAGAATGAAATGTGGCAACCACATCTGGTTTAATGTGAAAAGCCAGCTTCGAGCAATGCATGAGTAGTCAGCTATGCAGAGGGACCTCAACCTTAAACTGGGCCTTAAAATGGGGTGCAGGGTAGGGAGTTGAAGGACTGGTTCAGGAAGCCAAGGTAAAGGGGTTTGCATGGAATGGCTGTCTCCAGGGCACCATGGAGCCTCTGTCCTCGAGGCTTGTCTTGCCAGGCACACAGGTGTCCCTAGCTGCCCTTACTGAAGGGCTGGGAGAGGGTTGGTGCCCGGCCTATAGCCATCTTGTGCCTTCCCTGGCCAGAATCACCCACACCCAGGAAGAGGCCTGGGCCGACGCATGGAGGGGCTGGGTTGAGCAGCAGGAACCACAGAGAGGGGCTGCCTGTGGGAAACTACCAGTTGAAACTTGAAAACTTGACCACAATCACAACATGGAGAGGGCCAGGCTACTCTAGCGAGCAGGTGACAGGAAATGGAAGGAGGCTCCAGACAGAGCACATGGCCCCACAGGGTGAACCAACAGGACAGGAACAAGGACTGTCACTACCCACGGGGACATGGGACGGGGAGCAGTGGCCATGCTCCCTGGGTCATGGCATGGGGGTGGGGGCAGTATTCCTGCCCCCAGTCTGGGACAGACTCTGCACCTGGCAATGGAGGGCAGCTGGATCCCTGATGCCAGAGTGGACAGGTGGGCCCCGGGCTGGCTGCCTCATGAGGGGAAGGGCCCCCTGCCCAGGCTGATCCACTGGAGGCTGGAGATTAAAGGTACTGGAGGAACTTGGGGGTACAGCCCAGGCACCCTGGGGGCTACCCTCTCTTGGCCCCAGACGGCCCACAGTGGCCACCCCTCCATCCCTGGAGTTGGGCCAGGAGGACCTGAGGGAGGTCCCAGGAGGCCTCGGGCCTGGCATCGGTGGGGCAGCCTTCCAGCCCTGGTCTGGGCTGCCAGCCACTAGTAGGCGGGCACCTGGTACCCTTTGGGGGCTGGTGTCCAGGGTCTCGGTGAAGGGCGGGCTCTGGTAGGTCTCGGGGCCCTCCACACCCGCTGCCCCACTGGGTAGCCAGGGTAGTCCTTGGCCCGCCCCGGTGCCCAGCTGTTCGGTGGCAAAGATCGACATTGTCGTGCCCAGACGGAACCGGTGCAGGGCCTTCAGGTGAGCGCCACCTGAAGAGGAGCCCGAAGTCAGCTAGAGCGACACCGGCCTGGCGGCCCGGCCCTTCACCGCCCGCAG